CAGGTAAGCATCACTCTCCCTAGAATCAGAGGAAATTAAATTTTATGATGTTATTATTTCATTTCTATCAGATCAACAACAATTATGAAGCCTGATAACATTTAAGTGTTGGCAGGGATACAAGGAGAAGGGGACTCATACTTGTTCAGATGGAGAAAAACAACCATTGGGAGGTCAGTTTACCTCACTAGCAAAAAAGATATACATATCTAAAACATCTAGCAATTCCAATTCCTGATATCTGCATTAAAGAAATTCAAACATGTAAACAAGGGGAAATTTACAAAGATGCTCACTGCAGAAATTTTAACAAAATAATTATTATCAATTATGGTGGAATGGGAAAATGGAAGGCAAGGCCTCACTTAGTGATTTATTCATATAATAAGAATACAATGTACTGTTAAAAGCAAAAAAAGTAGTTCAATACATATTTTCTTAGAAGAATCTTAAAAATAAAACATTGAATATAACAAAGTAAGTGGGAGAATGATACATACCACATGGCATGAGAAATGTCAAAATACAAATACAGTATATTGTTTTCTGATACATTTCTACATAATCTTCCCAATAGAAGTTATCCCATTAGAAAGAAGAAGGAATGGGGGTACTCTTTAAACTGTTTTTCTGTGATATTTGAGAGAGAGAAGAGAAAGATGAGAGAGAGAGAGAGTGACAGGAAAGATGTACAGAAAACATATCAAAGTTAAATATCTGTTTGTTCCACTGCTGAGTAAACAAGATATTTTCTATTTTTTTTTTTTTACTTTTGATAATTATTTAACAAATATTCTTTTTCAATTGGTAGAAACAATCACTGTTTTCTCCATCTCAGCCAGGCCACAGAATGAAGAATGGAACTCCAATCACCCACAAGTTTGCCAGATGCATTCTCAGTAGGTCGAGGTGGCCTATATAAATATACAAATGCCAATATAACTTCCATTACAAATATAGTGTAATTTGTTTGTGCATTTTTATAAGTTCAACCTGAAGTAAACTTCTCCAACTCATACTTTCTCAATTCACCATGAAAAAAAAAGAAGGGGTGACTGTTGGAGCCCAAGAAAAAGACCACCAAAAGGACATGATTGCAAGGCACATGTTCTAACAAAAGCTAAGAGAAGGCAAGGCCTCACTTAGGGTTGAATGCTTGGTTCTAGCTTTGTGCCCTTGGGGAGGAACATTCTTCCAGTAAGATGCTTGCTAACCTGTTCTGCTGGAACAACATTTTACCTAAGAATAAGTTTCAGTAACCAGACATAATAATAATATACTTCAGTAATCATACTTTAGAATAATGTAGTTTAGTAATTATTTCATACCCTAGAATTATGTACCTTAACAACCATATTATATTTTAGAATGACTCTTTTTAATGATTACTTACTATTCCTGTAAGA